TGGCTGCCCAGTCCTCGGGGAAGAGTCTTTCTCCCCGCTGGGCAGGGGCATGGGGCAGGCATGGAGACGGCTTCCTGACACCTGCTGCTTCGGGTGGATGCCTCCGTTCTTGCCCTAATGGCTTGATTATTTGATGGAGAACAGCTGCCCCCGTTAGGGACCCTGACCCAATGGTTGCTCCTGTCTGTTTGCTTTCTGCTTCCCGGAGCTGTTGGTGCTATTTTCAACATTTGTTTATGGACCCAACCACCTTTGAGGCCGGCCAACAAAACCTCCAAGGAGTCTATTGGTGACCAGCATCAGAGTGAGAGCTGTGCGGCTCCCTCACGACAGTGGCCAGCTGGGGCCTCGGCCAGATGTTGACCGAGGCCGTGGATGCTCGTCGGGAGCTGGGCCACTGCTGGCTGGCATCCAGGCATGACTGGGCCTCCGGTGGGGAGGCGAGAACCTGACAAGGCGGCTGCAGGACTGAGCAGACCCCTGGGAGGGGGCGGCTGGTCTGATGCTCTGGGCTGGGAAGGAAACTTCTTTCCTTGCTCCCTGCCAAGAGTGGGTCAGTCCTGGCTCCGCCCAAATCCAGCCGCCGCTGTCCCCGCCCCCTTCAAATTCACCACTGCTCCTGCTGCCACCCTCTGCCCCCCTCTCCCCAGCCAAGGGTGCTGGCTCCAGGCTCCCCATGGAGCCATCCGTGAGTGACCCTTCTGAGGTGTGAACACCCACCTGGGAGACCAGAGATCCTGGGACTGGCTGCAGGACTTTGTTAAAGCTTTTTCAGAATTTCCAGGCAGGGACAACAGAGCATTCAACAGAGTATGACTGCACGGGCAGGGGGAGGTGGGGGGATGACCCAGCCACGAGGCTGTCCCCGTGTGTCTGTCACCTGCAGACGTCACACCCTGAGTGAGGTCCCGAGCCAGCTGAGTCTCACTTCCCACACCTGCGCAGTGGGATTTAGAGTTTGAGCCTCTGCATGGGGTCGTCGTGAGCCGTGATTTCAAGTCGCAGAAGGTGTAGTGGCTTTTACTGTTCCTGGTGACACTGGGGTCATTATTTAACAGCTCTTCTCTGGGTTGTTGGCTCCGTGTTTTGCAGATGCTGCCATGGACACGCCTTATTTATTTATTTTTAAATGACCTTTCTGTATCGGATGATTTTAGACCTGCAGAAAGCTCGTAAAGACAATACAGAGTTCCCATTGGCCCCTTAATCACTTTCCTTCACTGTCCTCTCACGGCGTGAAGGTGGCGGTGGCGACACCAACACACCGACGGGGGTCCCTTACTGTTCACGAAAATTCTGGCCTGGCTTGGATTTCACCAGAATTTTCGTAGATGACCGTTCTCCGTCCCAGGCTCCCATCCAGACCAGGGCGCTGTGTTGCGTGTGTTTTATCTTTGGCACGACCTGGTGTCTCCAGCAGCGGGGCACAGACCTGGCAGGGCAGGGAGGCCAGCCTCAGGCCACCTGGTGACTCCAGAACAGGGCCCCTTCAGGTGTCCCTCTCTGCCGATGTCACCATTGGTCTCAGGCTTCTGAGCCCTGACTTGGCAAGAGGCCAGCCCTTCCTGCTCCTCTGTCTTGGGTTTGGGGCACATTCTAATTCATTCGCTTCTCGCCGGCTCTGTGGCTCTGAGGACTAGCACGGGTCCCATCCCTGTGGAGCTCAGCACAGTGGGGAGACTGAGGAAAGAGGCAGACAGGATATGCTCCTTCGTGGTGCAGTGGGGGAAGAAAGGTGACCGGTGAAGTTGAGGGTCCCTTAGGATGGTCGGAAGGAAGACACCAAGCATGAGAAGACCCTTTGTCACTCAAGGTGACAGCCTTGAGCGGGGAGTAGCAGGTGTAAGGGTCCAAGTCAGGAAAGACCCCGGGGAAGTCCGGGAAGGGATTTCCAGGCTGGAGGGTTATGAGTGCTGGGAGGGGGCAGACCGAGTTTACGGTCAGCCAGGATCACAAGGTTCTGGGGTGGCAAACACCATCTCTCAGGGCCAGGCCAGTGGCTGAGGTGGGAGCGCGTGTCCCCTTTGAAAGGGTGTGACCAGAGCTCAGTACCAGCTCATCATCACCACTCCGTGCCCCAGAGCTCTGGAGTTTTTAAAAGAGAAGCTGGAGACTCATCTTTTCTAGAGAAGTGGCATTTCATTCAAAAACAGGAGAACACCAATGACCAAACAGAAGCAACAATACGGGTGCAGACACTCCGCCCAGTGGAGGCAAAGCGGGACACTGCTCTGGTCTGGGTTTGGCCAGATGAGCGCCCACCGGTGACCTCACTGGCAGGGCCTGATGGTGACAATGGAGACTCGCATTTTCTTCTAAGCCCTGTACTTACCAGAGGATCAGATCTGTTTCTTAGGACCGTCCCTCGGGCTGCCAGGTGGAGAGTGGGTTAAGGGCAAGGGGAGCATCTTGGAGGTGGCCCCGATGAGGTAACAGCGGTGATGGCGAGAGGGATCCGGGAAGAGTTAGCAGAAGGGATGGAGGACAGGTGGGATGCGGGTGTCCAGCCCAGTTATGTGACAGTGAGTCACATAACCCAGGAGCCTTAGTCTGCTCATCTGTAGATGTGCGGATTCGGGCCTCCGGAACGTGGCAGGTGCTCAGTAACACACACGCAGGGTTGCCTGGTACCCAGCTCAGTGGGTTAAGCCTCTGCCTTCAGCTCAGTTCATGATCTCAGGGTCCTGGGATCAAATCGCACATCGGGCTCCCAGCTTAGCGGGGAACCTGCTTCTCCCTCCCCCTCTCCCCCTCTCTCCCTGCTCATGCTCTCTCTGTCTCTCTCACCCTTTTTCTCAAATAAAATCTTTAAAAATAAATAAAAGAATATTTTAAAAGGCATACATAGAAGTATGTGGCGGTCAGACAATTCTGCTAGTGGCCATGGGATGAGAAGCAAGGCCCAGGGCCCTTGGTGACAATGAAAGCACCAGCCAGCAGGGGAGCCAGGACCCCCCAGAAGAGGGGCCCTGATGGAGGAGGGGCCAGGCTTGCAGCAGCAGAGCCCAGGTCCAGGATGGAGGGATCAGACTCCGGGTTGGGAGCTGGGGCCCCCAGGAAGGTCTAAGTCTGGAAGAGGCCGTGACATGGCCCCGCCCTCCTGGCCGTCCCGTCTTCCCTCCCAGACCGCCTGTGACTTTGCATGTAGCAGCCATATCTTGGCAGGACTTCCAGGGGCTCCTCCTCTGCTAGTTTCCATGTTAACGCTTTTCCTCCAGCTAAAAGCAGAATCCTTGGGGAGCCTCGAACCTTCTAGAGCTGCTGCCCAGGGTCAGCATCGCCTATAGCGAGACGGCACCAGCTTGTCCCTGCTGCTGGGGTCCTTCAGGGCAGGGACTGCCCGCTGTGGGAGCCCCCAGCCCTGTTCCTCTGTCACCAGAGCCTCAGCAGCCTCCCCCTGCCACTGGCTGCTCTGGTCACTGGGCTGGCGGAGGTTGGGGCCGGGGGCCCAGCTGGGTGGGAGCGTTCGGAGGGGAAGGGGCGTGGCGAGGCTGGCCGGTGCAGCCCTTCGGGCAGGATTGGACACACAGGGGCTGCTTACAGAGAAGTGGGAGGAGCTTTGCTCACAGCTGTCAGAGCCTTCTGGAAGACCTGGGGCCCTGAAGCAGACACAGAACATTGCAGGCAGAATTGCCGGGCGTGGCCTGAGGTGCAGAAGGCCTTGGCCAGGATGGAACAGGGAGGCTGGGACTGAGGGGAAGGTCCTGTGGGCCGGCTGTGGCAGGGGCCAGGTCCAAAGCTCAGGAGAGCCCACTGGGAATCCTAGCTCAGCCTTTCACCAGCTGGGTGACCCTGGGCATGTGACCTCCCCTCCCCTCTCCAAGCCTGCTTTGTCCCGCACAAAATAGGCCCCGTCTCAGTGCCTGCCTCCCGGGCTCTGGTGAGCAGTGGGGGAGCCAGGAAGGGCAGCAGCCGCTGGGCTTGGCAGTAGCCCCAGGCTGGCGGTTCCCAGCCCGTGGGGCCCAGGGCAAGGGGCGGGAAGCAAGGCCTTCTCCATCCAGCTCCTCGACAGCCCCGTGTCTGGGCAATGGGACATGCGCCTGGAGCCCCTGCCAGCTCCGATGCCCACGAGGCTCTGCAGGACCTGCAGACGAGCGAGTCCGGCCGGGCGGGGACGGCGGCGAGCCCAGCAGCACATGCCCTGTCTCGAGGGGCCAGCTGCCTGAACCCCACAGGAACACAGACCCAGCGTGGCCCGATCGCTCCTTGCAGGAGAAATAGGAACTCAGTATTTATTTGAAACATCCCAGTTCTTCCATGTTGGCATCTTACTTGTGTTTAAATTTGCATGAGCCAAACCAGTCATGTCTGCGGGCCAGATGCTAACCAAAGGCCACCAGTTCGCGATCTCTGAGTCGGCTGAAAAGTGGGGGGGAGGGGGGTGTCTGGGGCTGCCGATGTCCCTATGGTTGGAAAGCAGGTGATGAAGGGACATGCTGAGCCCTGCACTGAGAGTGCACCCCCAGCCCCACTCAGCCCCGGGGCTTTCTGCGTCCAGGCTCAGGCTGGGGCTGGGTGGCCCCTGGGTTCCAGTCCAGCTCTGCCAGTTCCCACCTGGCTGAGCTTGGGCAAGTACCTCTCTCACCCTCAGTTTCCTCTTCTGCAAAATGGAATTAAGGATACTTGCCTCTCTTTGCTGCTGTGAGAGCAGACGGGCTGTGAACCTTCGGGGCCCATCCTGGGCTGGGTGCTGAGAATGTGCTCGGTACTTGGTCACGGCCGTTGTGGAGAGGCTGGGGTCCAGTCTGTGTGGATAGAGCCGTTTCTTCCATCTGTTGCTCCCCCGCCCCCAGCTATGTTTTTGAAATTTGAGAATTAGGGGCAGGTGTGATAATAACAGAGTTCCTGTACCCCTCACCTGGTTTCCCTCCTTGTTACGATGGTATTTACTGCGGTGCCTTGTCCCAGCCTGGGGACCAGCCCCGATGGATTGCTAATGACTAAACTCCACAGTTTATTCGGATTCTGCTAGTTTTCCCTGATGTCCTTCTCTGTTCCAGGATGGTATCCAAGCTACCAACCGCGTTCTGTTTAGTTCATGCCTCCTTAGCCGCCTCTGGTCTAGGACAGCTTCTCAGACTCCCCTGGATTTGGATGACCTTTACAGCTTTGAGGAATATCAGTTAGGTATTTTATACAGTACCCCTCGATTAGGGCTGATCTGTTGTTTTTCTCATGGTTGGATCGGGGCTACGGGTTTTGGGAGGAAGACCACAGAGGTGAAGTGCCTTCGTCCCACCCAGGGCACAGGCTGCCAACAAGATTGTCACTGATGCTGTTGACCTTGACCACCTGGCTCGGGCAGTGTTCGCCAGGTCCCTCCTGAGCAGTTCCTTTTCCTTTTCATAGTCTGCTATTTGGAAGCCATGCCAAGTGTAGCCCCATCAAGGGGAGGGACAGCTAAGCTCCAGTGAGGTTCAAAGGGCAGAGAAAACCCTACCTTGAAGAGGGCTGGGAGGGTCACAGACACTGCGTGGGGCATGGCAGGTGTAGTGGGGCATGGGAGGTGGGGCATACCTGGGGCATGGCAGGTGTAGTGACTGTAGCCAGGGGAGCCTCTCCCAAGCCCCGAAGAGCTGGGAGTGCCTGGTGACGTAGGGGAGGACTGTGGGCCTCTGGGCACCCGAGCTCCCCTGCACAAGGTCAGCCTGGGGCCTCTGTCCACCAGGGGCTAACCAGGCTCTGGGGCTGACCCCGTGGACCTCAGAAGCCAGGCTACACGTGGTGCTAATGCGTGGCCTGCTGCTTCTGGCAGGGAGGATGCTGGGTGAGGAAGGACAGGCTAGAGCCAGAGTGATGGCCAAGGGCAGCCAACCAAAGAGCACCCAGGCCCAGGACAGTCAGCGCAGTGGGCCTGGCCCGGAATCCTCCGGTGTGGGTCAGGTGACCTGTCACCCAGTGCCCATGGTGTGGGAGATATGGGGAAAGAATTTTGTCCTGACCTCTTTAGGAAGACAGATTCCGTTTGGGGGTAGACCGTGGCTGGTGGTCCCCATCTGGCCTGCCACTGTTCAGGAAAGTCTTCCTGGCGCCCGGCCGAGCTGCCGGTTTGCACATTTCTCTGCGGCTGCTGTGGGGCTTCAAGGGCAGAGTTGAGTCGTTGCGACAGAGACCTGCGGCTTGCAAAGCCTGACATGTTTACCGTCTGGCCCTCCACAGAGCAAGTTTGCAGACCCCGGCCTGAGCAGAAAGCGGACCAGGATTCGGGATGTGCAGTTAGGGCATCCCAAAACAGAGACACGAGGCGGGCCGGGACTTCCAAGGAGGGGGTGGGGATTTCTGGAAACAAGTGGGCAGGTGGCAAGGGCGAGCTAGGACCCTGAGGTGGGCGAGCTTCGCTTTAGGAGACAGTGATCCGCGCAAGACAAGGCGGCAGTCTGGTGTTCATGAGAAATCTCCTGATTGGTTACATGTTTGCAATTATTCACTTTTTAGACATCATGAAGCCCACCAAGCACATCTGTCTGGCGTGTGGGCTGCAGGTTTGAGAACTCGGGTGTCCAGGGTGGGAGAGAGGACGTGTGGATGGATGTGGGTAGATGGGAGAGAGCAGCCCGGCCTAATAAGCCAGTAGGTGAGCTCTGGGCTGGGGGCAGAGGGGACTGTGAGGGGAGAGTCCGAGAGGGGGCGGGGCAGAGTCCGAGACCTGCAGGGTCAGATGGCCCCATCTCCCAACCAGTCCCAGGCCGATGGAACATTCCTGCCAGCAGGCTGGGAGCTGGGGAGCAGTAGGACACTCCTCCTTGCTTCCCTGGCAGCCCCCCTCCCCCGCCCTGGGAATCTGTAGAAGGGGAGGTGGGAGGTGGAGATCTCTGAAGTGCCCTCTGAGAGTCCCAAGGGTTTGGATTTGCTGCTCTGTCTCCCAAGACTTGGGCCCTGTGTGGGGATGGGCAGAGGCTGGGCTTCGAGCTGGACAGGCCTGGTGGACCCCACGCCGTGGTCCCCTGGCTCCTGCCACTTCTGAGACACAGGGAAGACCCCTGTTTGGCAGGCTGCCAGGAGATTCGGGGAGAAAACGGGCGCGGAGGACTGGGTTTCCATGGCACCCTGACGTGCCGTGATTGGGGCCTGGCCTCCAGGATGCGGTCTGTTCCTCCTGACAGCAGCCGGAGCATCTGGCTCCTTTCAGCCTCGCACACCAGCCCTTACCTGCGGGTTCAAGCTGCTGGTTGGCAAGTACTCATTGGCTTTGCTGTGGGTTTATTGCTTTAGGACGCCCTGGGCCAAGTGACAGTGACACAGGTTAACGTGGCCAAAGCAAACAAGAGAAGTCCATGGCTCATGGACAGGAGACAGCCCAGGGTAACTCCCGCCTCAGGAGATAATGGATTCCACTGCTCAGATGATACTGTTAGGACTTTATCTCACTCCGTCCCCAGCTCTGCGTCCCTGTGTTGGCTTCAATCCTATGCAGGCCCTGCATTGTGGTGGCAGAGGTGGCCTTCAGGTTCATGGCCCATTACCCCCCCCCACCCCTGCCTGGAGCCTGGGGGCAGCATCCTTGTCTCAGTAGTGAGAGCCCCAAGACTGATTCCCATTGGCCCAGCTCGGGTCACAGGCTCAGCCCCGGACCAGTCACAGCTTGGGTGGGTCAGGCTTTCCCCGCCCCCACCCCCACCCTCCCCCACCCCCGGGGGCCCCACTTAAGCCATAGGGGGTGAGGAGGGAGGCGGGGGTCCAGCACAGGCCCAGGTGATCTTGCAAGAAGATCAGGAGGTTGATCCCAGGGGGGAGTGCAGGCTGGACGGGCCCCACACCCACTCTCCAAGTGCAGCATCTGTACCCTGGAGGCCCCGTCTGGAGCCCCCTGGCTCATCAGAGGTCGCCCCTGCCTGGCTGACTTCAGGCTCAGTTCTCCAGCCAGCCATGAGTCACAGCCCACATTTCCCCACATGCTCTAAGATGTTGGTGGGGGTTTGGTCCAGGGCCACTAGGAGGCTCTTAGGATGACTTCTCTTTAGTTCTGTTATAATTATATTGATTTTCTCCCTTTTTTGGAAGTCTCTCTCCTTGAGGGAGGAGGCAGAAGCCCCGCCCCTGAGAGGGGTGTTTTATCCATTCAGAGAGACCCCCTTTTGAATGGTGGCACTATTTCAAAAAGAACAGGGAGTCAGGATGAGGCCACACTGGCCCCTCATGGGCCCCCTTCCCTTTCCTGGGACCCGAGGGTTGGGAGAAGGGACCTAGCTTTCAGAATCACAAAATGTTCTTTGACCTCCCTCCGTGTGTCAGGATCAGGGAGCTGGTCTTTGTGCTGTCATTATTCACTTGAAAGTTGCATTTTCTAGATTACTACAATGACCAGTTTTCAGGAGAAATGGGGTGAAGAGATCCTAAGCCCATGGGCTACCCACAGATTACATCCCTGAGGCTGGGCGATCAACGTTGTGGCTCACTTCTCAGTCGTGCCCTGGTCATGGAGCTACTGCAGGCCTTGCATCCCATCCAGTGGTGGCAGGGGCAGCCCAGGAAGGTGCTAGAAAGAGGGGGCAGGTGGGAGGCCTGGGCCTTAAGTGCCTCCAAGTAGGCTGAACCAAGAATGGCTGATACAGGGTTGACGGATGGAATGTTCTGTTGCCCTTCGTGAGGCTGGCCCTTAGCCAAGGAGATTGGCTCATCCTGGTTTTCCAGCTGTGGGATGGCGACACAGGGAGGTACGTGGTCAGACACCTGAGCATGTTCTGTCTTACTTGAAATAGTTTGATGGTTTCCTTCTGTGCAGGGAAGTTCTAGGGCTTTGAGCTCAGACATGAGCATCTGTCCACCCTTGCCCTAAACTTGGCTGCTCCCCTTTAGGCGATCCTGGCCACAGCCTCCTTCCTGCTCCCGTCTCTCCCCACAGTTCTCTTTCTAAAACACCTAATTCCACACCCATACTCCCCATTAGTGACTTCAGTGGCTCCCTGGTCCCTAGGGATGAAGTTCTTAGCACGGCTTCCGAGAGCCCATGTGATCTGGCCCTGGTTTTAGAGCTTCCTCTCCGCACAGTGACCTGGCCCCACTCCAGACTGAGCCGCTGGAGTCCCCAAGTGCCCTTCCCTCCCTGCCACGCACTGTGGCACGCCATCCCTCAGTCTGGAAGCCCCCTGCTTGCTCAAGCCCCCAGAAACCTCCCTGCCCCCTCCCCTGGGGGAGGAGGGCTTCTTCCAGTTTCCACAGGTCTCTGCGCCTCCCCACCATTAGCCCTCGCATGGCCGTGTTGTTCCGTTGGTTCCTTCCCTCCCCGCCAGCGAGCCTGGGATGGCCGGGGCTGCTGTCTTGTGCGCAGATGGGCCCTGGCTGCTGTGGACCCTCAGGACCTTGGGGGTGGAGTGGGCGGACACTTGGAGGTCACGGGTCAGGCACCGCCCCCCCCCCCCCAGCCTTGGTTTCCCTGCCTCCACGATGGGGATGACGGTCAGGGCGTCGCTGGGGGAACAGGTGTGCGGGGAGGCCCAGGATGCTCGCGGCGCGGTGCTGGGCACGTGGAGGTGTTGGGCTTTGGGGGAGCTGATGCTGGCCATGGCCCACCCCAGCCCGGGCACCTGCAGGTGGTCTCAGCTGGAGGGGGCAGGAAGCAGGACAGTCAAGGGAGAGGAGTCGGGGAACAGGGGGAAACGGGGAGGGCCGTGAGAGGGATGCCCAGTGGAGACGCGCAAAAGAACCTCGTCACACCTGCCCATCTCCCAGCAGGGCCGGGTCTCCCTCCTCCAGGGGGGCCGCCATTGTCATGGGGATCAGCTCTGGCTCTGCATGAGAACCGTCTGGGGACTTTGAAATACCCCCATGGCAGGCCATACCCCCGAAAAGTGTCCTCAGATGTGAGGTGGGGCCCCGAGGCGTTTCCTTGCTCTACCAGGGGGGTCACAGCGCAGCCACAATCGAGAAGCCCTGTTTGACGTGGTCCTCTGTGAAGCCGGTTTCTCCCCCAGAAAGGGTCTCAGCAGCCCGAACAAGGGGAGGGCTGCTTGATGGAAAAGCTCTGCCTCCAGCCTTCTCAACAAAGACCCACACCAGATATAAGTGAGCACTTCTTAAAATGGTTTGATTTTTTTTTTTAAAAGTAACACATTGAGATGGCACCAGCTCGAGGCGGCGCAGATGGGGACCTGCTTAGCACCCCCCCAGTTGCTCAGCAGCAGGCCCTGGGCCCAGTTCTGGGGCGCCCTGCAGAGCTCACGTGGGTGTGCACGCACACACACACACACACACGCACGCACACACCTGCCTTCTCGGTCACTATCAGAACGGCACGTCCCCAAGCTGGCAGTGCTCCGCCCTGGACGGGGACCTGCATTGGTGGCCCGACACTGGTGGCCGGATGCCCTGGGCGGGTTGAGGGGGCCTTGGCTCTCCCAGACAGTGCTACCAAATGACTGTGGCCTCCTCGTCACAGGGGCCACACTGCCCGTGGGCTGAGTTCATTCCGATGACTGGAAATCTTGGGTCACAGAGAAAGGGAATTCCAGAGGCTTACGGGGCACCTCGTTTCTGTCGTTCCAGAAGCCACTGGCAGCCCCGGCCTTTGAGTTGCCCGCGCTCTACCGCACGGAGGACTACTTCCCCCCGGCCACCGGCCCTGCTGCACTGCGGACCCCCCACCCCCGGCGCCGGCGTGTGTGAGCCTCTGAAGCCGGGGGCCTGTCTCATGCTGTCCCTTCATGCTGTGATCCCCTCCCCTGCTGCACGTGGAACCACGGGATTCAGAGACCCAGATTCGGAGACCCATCTGGGGCCCGTGTGTCCGGGTCCGAGCAGCCACCGTGGCTCTAGGCCCCTGGTGGCTGCTCGCTGCCACCAGACGCACAGCTTCAGGGTCACCTGCAGTGGCTCATCTGTCTGCGATCCCCGGTGCCCGCTGGCCTGTGAATCATCTCAATAAAGATGTCAAGCGGTCATGTGTGGTCTGGGTGCAAATGTTTTCTCACTGGGAGCTCCTGCCACCGAGGCCAGGAGTCTGCCTTTACGTTCCCAGCGAGAACGGGGAGATCCTTAGGATTTCCAGGGGTCTTCAAAGGTGCGTTGGCCTTAATTTCGTTTCAGGCAGATGAATTTCCTGCTCTTGTCCCGGAATTCCAGATTTCTCACCTTGGGGATGAAGAATTCCGGTTTGTGTGTGTGTGTTTGTTTTTGGAATTCCTCAAAGAGCCAAGAGTATACACACACACATAGCCAAGCTGCAGACCTGCGTTCAAGTTTCAGGGAAATTTCACATAATGAACCGAGAGAGAGAGAGCAATAGAAAAACAAGGAATAAAGCTGGATCATGACAAGTTTAGGACAGTTTTGGTGGCTCCGTAGGTCAAGCATCCAACTCTTGGTTTCAGCTCAGGCCGTGGTCTCATGGGTCTGGGATTGAGCCCCACATCGGGCTTCTTGCTCAGCGGGAGGCCTGCTTGGGATCTCTCTCCCTCTGCCCCTCCCCTTGCTCTCACATTCTGTCTCTCTTTTTCCCTAAAATAAATAAATCTTAAAAAAAAAATGTGGGTGCCTTGTTTCAAAAAAGCCATCATTTTCCTGTAGAGATTATTTTTTTAGTAAAAAACTTGTGTATGTTATTTTTTTAAATGTTTTTTAAGATTACTCATTTATTTGAGAAAGAATGAGAAAGAGAAAGTATGAGGAGAGGGAGGGGCAGAGGGAGAAGCAGGCTCCCCGCTGAGCTGGGAGCCCAATGTGGGTTTTGATCCCAGGACCCTGAGATCATGACCCGAGCCGAAGGCAGACGCTTAACAGACTGAGCCTTCCAGGCGCCCCTTGTATATATTAAGTGACTGAGGTATAGTTTCCTCTAGGCGGAAGGTTCAAGGAATTCTCACAAACCGCACCCCGGTCCACCAGCTGATGTCGGTGATGTACTTTGTGTGATGGGCGGATGGGTGGACGGGGCCCACGTGGTGTGGTCTGTGTGTCTGGCTTCCCTGTGGCTGACACCCTGCCTGTCGCTACGTGTTCATCCCTGTGGCTGTGCTGTACTGATCGGGACTGTTTTTAATGAAGGAAGCCCGGGTGTTTCCTGGGCCCTAGTGCGTCCACTCGAGGAGAGCCGGGATCCGAGGGAAAGTTAATTTTTCAGACAAGCGGTGAGGACACCAGTTTCCGGAAGGCCAAGTATATGTGGCTTGCTGGTGACGCCCAGGCCCTTCTCCTTTCAGGGCCTGAAGCAGGGGCCAGGGAGAGGTAAAAGGGAACGTCATGTGACCAAGCCACAGCATTGTGAGTGTCCTAAAATAGAGACCCACAGGACTGTGGCTTAGAGCTTCTAGGCTCTGAGGTCAGCCTGCCTGGGTGGTACCATCATCTCCTGCTCACCTCAGCTGTGTGGCCCTGGGCTAGTTGCTTACCCTCTCTGAGCCCTGCTCCCTCCTCAGTGGGAATACGGCAAGCAAGGGCACATGCGCCCTGGGCGGTGTTTGTGCGGATGGCATGGGGGGACTGGTGTGAGCACTGGTCTCAGGGATGGCAACAGGCACTACAGTGAACGGTGTTGCTATGGCGATCAGCCTGGCCAGGGAAGGGCCAACTTTTGTGCTGCTGCTCAGTTGATAGGTGGCATCCGGCAGTGTCAACAGCAAGTG